CAGTGCCAGTGTCCAGGGGACAGGGTGTGGGGAAGCCAGAGCATCTCAGGTGGGAGGGCCACTGTCCGGAGCATGTGTGACAGGTGGCATGGATTTGCCAGGGCCTAGCTGGGGCCTCTGGGCTGAGCACTGAAGGGGCCGTTCTCATGCTGGGGCCAGGAAGGGTGGGCGGAGGGGTGCGGCTTCACACCCACCTTCTCCCTGGGCCTCTGCTGCAGTGAGGTGAGTCCTTGCGCCTGGGAAGTGGCAGGAAGTCCCCAGGTTTGGATTAAATGTGCTGTGGGAGGGAGGGCGGAAACCAGAGGTGTCCCCTCCCCCCGGGGCTGGGAAGTGAGGGCTGGAGAGGAAGCCCCCAGGGGCTGGAAACCACACCCCTCGGCCCCAGGCCCCACTTTGTGCTCTGACCATGTCACCCAGGCCAGACGGCAAATCCTTCTGTCCTGGCTGCTGGGACCCAGGCACCATCTCCCTCCGAGGTCCCCCGGAGCTTCTGCTGTAGGGAACCGGCCCGCGGGGAAAGCCATCGGGCACTGGCTTCCTTTGAGGCCTGGCCTGGTCCCTGGGATCAGCTGTGCAGGTCTGACCCTGACCCCGACCCTGACCAGGGATGGCCACACTTGGCCCGGGGGCTCAGCGCAGCGGCTGGCCACACGGGCTTCAGAGCCAGGTCCTCAGGTCAGGGGGACATGCATCTGCACGCGTCAGACCGGTTCATGGTGGATTTTCACGTCGCAGTCCCAGACGCGGTGATGCTGTGCTTCGTGCTTATGAACCGGAGTCTCCCACTCACCCCTTGGAAGTCCGGTGAATGTCAGTGCGAGTTCCAGGAGGTCAGAGCGCTAACTGGCCGCACCATTTAACGGGTAGCGCTCAGGTCAGCCTGGCCCCAAGTCTAGCTGTTGGGGTCTCCCTGCTAATCAATGGCCTCTGTGGCCGGGGCACCTGTCCCCAGCACGAGGGGATCACAGGCCTGGGAGCCCAGGCCGCCTGCCTGCCCCGGCTGCTGTGGGCTCCTGCCAGGCTGCCATCTGGGATTGCTCTGTCCAGAGTGACTCCAGACAAAGTGGCCTCCTTTGGGCAAAGGGACTCAGCGGTTTCCTGCCAGCATTGGGGACGGTTTTCTCGCAGCTTCCAGCCCAGAGATCTCAGCCTCCCAGCCTCCCAGCCTCCGCACCTGCTTTCCCTCCTTCCCACTGCCCCTCCGCTGAGATGCGTGTCTCCTGGACCTGCTCACCCAGAGACAGGAGAACACTTATGACAGAATCGCCTCCACCCCACCCAGCCCAGGAGGACCCCGTCCAGGACCTGTTTCACTGGGCTGGGAAATCAGATGCAGGGATTCTTTCACACCCGCAGGCTGGGTGCAGAGAGGTGCGGGGCTGGTGTCCGTCAGGCCGGGTGCAGACAGGTATGGGGCTGGTGTCCATCTGCTCAGAGAACGGCAAGGCCTGGGGTTTCATGGTGGGAGAGGCAGACTTGTCTTACATCCTTACGAGCGGGATTGTCTCCCCGCCTGGAGGGGCTGGGCGCTGGGTGTAGACAGGGTGGGTGTGGGTCAGAGAAGACAAGGTGGAGACTCAGGGAACCCCATCGGCTCTGGGCCATCTGGCGGAGTTCTGGGCAGGGGCGATGTGTCACCTACTTGGGGATTTGCACACGCAATTGTTAGCGATAAGGATGGTCCCATCCACGGGGACGGTGTCCCTTCACCCGAGAGTGGCCTCGTCCTTGGACAGGCTGGTCCTTACCGCGGCCCCGTCGGTAGGTCGTAAATGCCGGCTTCTACAGGTGAGGGACACGGACGCCGCGTGGTTGGCCATGTTTCTTGGGGCCACACGGGATCGTTATGTGAGTGTCAGGGCTTACATAACGCTCTGAGACAGCGGGCTACTGTTTTTAACCCAAAGTGGTCACAGCTGAACACCTGACGGGCGTCCATGGAGACTGGGTCTCACCTGCATGCACCGCAAGCTCGATGGCCTGGGCCCTTCCCTGTGGCGTGGAGGTGTGGCCCTCGAGTGTTAGGTCCCGGGCAGCCTGTTGCCCGATGTGTGGTGAGACACAGGGAAGGTGAGGGGTCCAGGGTGAGGGGCCTGGGGGGGGTGAGGGTCCCAAGCGAGGGGTGGAGGGTGAGGGGTTTGGGGGGGTTAGGGATCCAGAGGGTGAGGGGCCTGGGAGACTGAGGGATCCGGGCGGATCAAGTATCCAGGGTGAGGGTAAGGGGCCCAAGTTGGGGGGTAAGATGAGGGCCCTGGGGGGTGAGGGGCCCTGGTGGGTGAGGGGACTTGGGGGTGAGGAGTCCGGGCAGATGAAGGGGTCCAGGGTGGGGGAGAGGGGTCCAGGGTGGGAGGTGAGGGGTCTGGGCCAGCGTCTGTCTGGAAGGCAGGTCCCTGCAGGTGCTAGAGGAGTGTGGGGAGCATCTGGGTGGAGACGGCCGCCAGCCGCGGAGGTGACAGGACAGGAGCAGTGATGGATCTTCCGTCACTGGGCAGTGGGTGAAATCTGTGAGGTCTTCCTGGAGAGGTGTGTGGGCTTTACTCGGGCGCTCCCAGAGCTATGGTGAGTCCTGGCAGCGGGCACTAGTCCCCCACTTGCCCCGGCCCCCACGGGGAGAGTTAGGGGCCCCTGAGGCGGCCGGTGCTGGGCCCACCCCAGGCAGCGAGGGGACTGCTGAGTCCTCATCCTCAGAGCTGGCCCCTGGCCTCCCTGTGTGCCCAGCTTTCCTGGTCCCTCCCAGCTTCCCCCCACTCCCTGGGCGGGGTGACTGCACCATCCAGTGACCCTGTGGGGCCCACACCCGGCGGCTTGTTCAGTGTTTCTGCTCCGAAAAGCCTGATGAGACCTGGGAGTCACTCAGTCGACATCTGCGAGCGAGCGACCGGGTCTCTGTCCCCGCGGGGAAGGAGGAGATTTTCCTAGGAAAACCCAACCTTCTCCAGTGCAGTAGGGGGAGGGGGAGGGGCCAAAGATTCACCTGCTGGCGTCAGGGCTCCGGGTGATGTCTGCTGCATGGGGATGAAGGCATTGGCCGCACTGAGACGGGGTGACACTGGGGGACAGGAGGAGGAATCCGCCTGCTGTTCCCCTGGCGCCTTGCCCGTTCCTGATGGACGGGTCAGACCAAGCTGTGTTGAGAGGCAGCGCCTGAATCTCAGCAGCTTAAATGCCCCCTGCTTCTCCATGACCCGGGCCTCTCCTCACCTGGCAGCCGGGGCGCCCACCGCCCTCACGCCCTCGCTGTGCTGGGGGGAGAAGGGCCTCACAGCGCCTGGCCACCGCCGCGTCCCTGTGCGTGGACCCCCGGCATGCCAGTGGTGTGGACACCCGGCTGCCATTCACCTGCCCCCGGGGCAGTAGGTCCACGTGTGCTCCACACAGCGCCGCCGGGAACCTGGGGAGCAGGAGGGCGCGAGCAGGTGGGCAGGGCACCAGCGCTCCCGCCCGCCGTGGAGGAACTGGGGGGCCTCTCCCACTGGCAGGGGTGCTGTCCAGCAACAGTGAGGGGAGCACGGCGGGACGGGCTCAGCATGGCGACGGTGGGGGGCTGGACCGTCTGCTAGGAATCACGCCCCAGGAGGGGAGAAGCGGTGGGGACTCATAGGGGCCAGGAACCCACAGTGGATGGGGAGGCCGGTGGCCCACGGGCAGGTGCGCACAGAGGCCACCAAGGGCCAGGACGCCCCACACCTGCCACGTGGCTGAGGCCTATGGGCTGGCCTCACGGGTTCACCCACCAAGGCCCCTGTTCTGGAAAGTGGCCCTTTGAGCTCGATTCCAGGGCTCCCGGGCGCATGTCCCTCAACAGACTCGTGAGTTGGGGAGACGCCGTGTGGGTACAAAGTATACTTCTTACACGTGCACCTGGCACGTGTCTCCTGTGTACTGTTCTCTGGGGCAGTTAACACCTCCATCTGGAAGGAGGGGCCACGGTGTTCTGTACCTGGGTGGGACAGCCCGAGGTCTTTTGTTTCCTGCCCAGAGGAAGCCTGCTTGGTGACTACAGGCTGCGTCCCCAGGGCTGGCCGGCCACGCTGCAGACACTGCACTTGCTCCACTCAGTGTATCACAGGCTTGTTCAGTCTGTACTGAGTGCAAGCAGGTGAGCAGAGCTGGCGTGTCGGGGGGTGGGGGCAGGGGGCCAGAGAGGGCGCTGATGCTGTGGGCCTGAGGCTGCAGGGTGGCGCGGGGTGAGGAGGGGTGGGCTGGGCGCGGCCTCCGTGAGGGGTTCCCGGGAAGGTTGTCCGAGGCACTCATGCTGTGCTAAGGCACCGAGGTGTAGTGAGCACACGGGCTCCTACGTGAGGGGGAAGGTGGCGCATTTTCGTCTCTGTCTCTGGGTTTCTTTACTGGACTGGGAACCAGCTGTCTCCTGTACAGTCACTTTGGTTCCATCACAGCTTCAGTTTCCGCTAAGATTATAATCACCTTGAGGTCTTTGCAGCGTTTACACCCACGAGGGCGCGCTGGGGGCCTGGGGGCTTGGTCTTCCTGCTGGACACCCCCCCCCCCGCCCCCAACGCCTGACCCTTCTTGGTGCGGGTTGGCCTCCGTCTTGCACGGGCTGGCCTCCCTGCCTTCGTCGTCACTGCGTGTTCTTCCTCTCGGGCGCCCCCGGGTCCGGCCACCACCAGGCAAGATGCTGTTCCTCAGGGCTTTCCCGGCCTCTGACGTTCGACAGAAACACATGCGTTTAGGTGGTGTGTGGGGCTGTGCGGGAGGGCGCGCAGGGCCAGGAGGGCAGCAGGCGGGCGGTGCGGCTCACCCTGCATCCGGAATCTCCCCCAGGGCCCTCCTCCTGCCCTCCGTGACCCCCAGCAGGTGCCCCCTTCTGGTACGCAGGGCGCTGGGAGCCCATGTCCCCCGGACTCCGTGCAAAGCATGGAGGGGAGCGTGGCAGAGACGGACCTCGTCCTGGGGCGGCGCGAGCACGCAGGCGGCCTGTCCGGCGGCAGTGACTGCTCTCCCTCTAACGCCGGCCTGTGTCTCTGCTCCCTCCTCAGCTGGTGCTTCCAGAATACTCCATCCACAGCCTCTTCTGCGTCATGTTCCTGTGTGCTCAGGAGTGGCTCACCCTGGGGCTCAACGCACCCTTGCTCTTATATCACTTCTGGAGGTAAGTCTGCGGGGCGGCTCCGGGCTCCCCATTCCTCCTCCCTGCCTGGGCACCTGCCGCCAGCGACCGTGGCCCCCGAGTCGCCAGCCACCTCGTGCCATCCTGCCTTCCTTTCAGAGATCCGTCCTCTGCCACCTTCTTTCTGAGCAGCTCGTAAGGGAAGGCTCCGCTCAGCCCGTCCGCTCTCCCTGGCCTCAGCCCTCACACGTCAGCGGTAAAAGCATTCTAGCATTTTCATAGTCGTCCCGAGTGGAGAGAACCAAGAGCTTTGCAGCAGAGGCGTGGATTAACAGATGAACAAAACTCCGTGTGTCCTCGCGATGGCGTTACCTGGAGTAAAAGGCGGTGAGGTAGCGATAGATGCTGTGACATGGCTGGACCCCGGAATCACGACGGGTCAAAGCAGCGAGTCATAAAAGGCCGTTTCTGTGAACCGTCCAGAACGGGCCGCTCTGAAGAGAAGAGAGGAAGGTCGTGGTCGCCTGGGGCTGGGAGGGGGAGTGGGGGGCCGTCAACAGGTACAAGGCTTTCTTCTTCGGGTGTGAGCGTCCTGAAATTCAACCCTGGTGATGGCAGGCCACTCGCTGTACATGCTAGAATCCCTGCACTGTGTGCTTTAAAAAGGTGAAGTTTTTGGTATGTGAATTATGTCTTTTTTTTTTTTTTAATGTTTATTCTTATTTTTGAGAGAGAGAGACAGAGCATGAGCAGGGCAGGAGCAGAGAGGGAGACACAGAATCTGAAGCAGCTCCAGGCGCCGAGCTGTCAGCACAGAGCCCAGCGTGGGGCTCGAACCCACAAGCTGTGACATCATGACCTGAGCCGAAGTCAGACCCGTAACCGACTGAGCCCCCAGGCACCCCTGTGAATTGTGTCTTAGTAAAAGAAAAGCACCGGTCAGATGGGCTGGAGTTTCTGGGACAGTTCTGGTCTTAAATACTCTGTTCTCTGTCGAGACTGTGCATCAGATCTTGTGATTTGGGCTTTCTGTAAATCCTGGTTCCCACATGGACCTGGCAGTTGTGGTGGGGGGCGGGGGGGCGGGGAGCAGAAGCGAAGAGCACGGCTGTGCTCCTGTTCCCAGAGCTCCAGCCCCCAAACACCTCATCATTGTCATCTTACCATAACACACAGCCTGCCCTTGTCACGTCTGGAGCATGTGCTCGGCCACCTAGTGGACCTGGACCCTCCACGTGCCGGCATGTGCGGGGTCCCCAGGAGTGTGCGCCCCCATGGCGGGGGACGCGGGGTCTCTGCAGACACGGGGAGTACGTGTGGACGTGTAGAGAAGTGATCCTGTAGATGAGACTGGCAGAGGGTCACTGGGAAGTGTGGGGATGCACACACCCCGCAGGTGGGGGCCAGCACGTTTGGGGACAGCACTGGCTCAGCGAGGTCGGGTGTAGGGCTCCAGGAGGTCGGTCTAGGGACACGTGGTTGTTGGCCCAGGGAGCGGTGGCGGAGGGTCTGAACCTCTCTGGTGAGGAAGCTGGAATCCATATATTACATAGAGAATGGAAGCTTCCAGAAGCTTTTAGGGGAGAGCGTGGAAAAGTGGTCCTGCCTGATCTGAGTTTGAGGAAAGCGGCCGGGGCAGTGGGTAGGAGGATGGATCGAGGAGGAGGTGACACCGGAACTGGAGGTGAAGAGGTTGTGGAGCTCGAGCTGACTGTCACTGAGCAGTGGGAGCTGGGACGGAGAGACAGGGCCCGTGGGGGCGAACGTGGCCTTGGCCGGTGATGGGTACAGGAGGGGAGCAGAGGCAGCCTCGGCGCTGGTGGCTGGGAGGGAGATGGCCCCACTGACCGAGGGCAGGAAGGGAGGGGGAAGGGCAGGGCTGGGGACAAGGGACGATGATGGAATCACAGGAGAAGGTCCTGCTTTAAGCAATGTGACCCGCTGAGGTCTGACCTCAGAGGGTGGTCAGGTGGGGACACTGTGGTGGTGGATGGATTCTTGCCTGCTTGCGGACTTGGTGGGTTTGTATCCTCCAGTGTCTACACAGCCTGGTGAGCCGGGGTCCCTCCCCCTTTACGCACGGGGACCCAGCGGCTCACAAGGTGGGGTCACCGCCCAGAGTTGCCTAGCAGGGACCCGCAGGGCCGGTGCAGCCCACCTCTGTGTGGGTCACAGTGGTGTCCCTGTCACTGGCCTGCTCCCTGTGAAGTCTCCGTCTGAATGGAATCACCCTGAGACCCTTCCAGTAGTGAGCTGTCCGTCCCGGCGCTGAAGTTGCTGTGGACTCAGGAAATCGGTTCCCCTGGGCTGTCGCTCCTCCCAGAGGCAGGGAGGCCGAGCTGCCCGGTGGCCTCGGGCTCCTGTGAGGGGGCGGCTGGGTCTCCTCCCCCAGAGGGACCTTGTCTGACAGGCTCTAGCCTGCTTCTGGCCATTCAAGTGCCTGGAAAATGGAAGAAAAAGGAACGAGGAGAGAAGGGTCCTCAAAGACCATCTTTGTTCGGTTTCTGTTCCTGCCAGCCCTGGGCCCCGGCCCGGCCAGGACACTCTCCTGGGACTCAGCACCCCCTGCACTCGTGCGCAGAGCGCTCTAGCGGCCGCGGCACCCGCATCTGCTACCTGCTTCTAAGCTGCCGTGTCCCGTGTCCCCGTGGTGCTCCCAGAGCCCGTGGACACGGGCTGCTGTGTCCGGCGTCCCCACGGTGGTCCCAGGAGCCTGTGGGGTGGCACTTTTGCCCCCATTGTACACAGGACAAAGCTGAGGCTCAGAGAGGCCAACAGCTGACTGCATGAAGGTCAGTCTGGTGGCCTGTGAGCCACAGAGCCTGGCTCAACCCACTGAGCCTGGACGCCCTGCTGCCCCCCGTCCACTGAACGAGACTGGTACACAGTCTCCACCAAGGCCCGTAGATTTTGGATCTGCCCCCAGGGAGGCGAGGAGTGGGGCCTGCGGTGCCCTCCTGCACGAAGTGGTGACTGACGCTGTCACTGTCCTCTGACGGGTGAGGAGGGGCTGGAAGCCCAGCCCCCACGGTGCTAGCGAGAAAGTGCTCTTCCGAGCCCCTCCCCTCACCTGGACACACAGCAGCCCCCGGAGGGGCCAGAGGTCAGCCCCGTGGCCCTCACCCCCCACCCCTGCCCAGCCTCCTGCACCCGAGTCCCTGCCTCCCATGAATGCGGCCGAGGCCGGTGGCGCTGGGCCACCGGGTGTTTCTGAGTAGACAAAGTTGGCTTTAACCACACACCCCCACCCCTTCTATTCCCTGTGTTCTCCCTTCCTTGGTTCCCGGTCCTCCCTGCTCTCTCCTCACCATAGCCAATGTTCCCTGGCTGTTCCGGGTCCTTCTACCAAGAAGAAAAGTGATGTGAACCATTCAAATTCCAGTGGGACATGACATCCCCCACTGTAGAATTCAGGATTTTATCTTGTTGTTATTTTAAAGTTTTTATTTATTTTGAGAGAGACAGAGAGAGAGGGGGAGGGGTGGGGGTAGGCTCTGAGCTGTCAGCACAGCACCCAACACCAGGCCCGATCCCGCGAACCATGAGATCATGTCCTGAGCTGAAATCAAGAGCCAAGGCTGAATCGACTGAGCTGCCCAGGTGCCCCCACCCCCAGAATTCAGGATTTTGAAAGAGGGTCTGGGGGGAGGACATCTGGAAAGCAGAGCTGGTGGTGGTAGTGGTGGTGAAGTGAACGCAGTGGGAAGCCGTGCAGCTCTCTGCAGGTAGCACCCCCATGCCTGTGTGGAAATCCACGCAGGTGCTCACTACACCCGCCCCCATGCCTGTGTGGACTCCCACGCGGGTGCGCTCTGTGGACACCCTACACCTATGCCGATGCCTACGTGGGTGCGTGCTGCAGACCCCATCCCCCCACACCTGTGCCAACACCCACGCGGGTGCGTGCTACACACACCCTCACACCTGTGTGGGCACCCACACGGGTGCACGTTGCAGACCCCCCCCACACCTGTGCAGATGCCCACCGGGGTGTGCACTGCAGACCCCACCCTACACACCTGTGTGGACACCCGTGGGGGTGCACCCTGCAGAACCCCCCACACACACCTGGAGGAAGATTCATCTTGCTGCCTCCAGACATCAGGTGACACATCCTCCTTCTGTTGTGTCAGTGGCTGAAGTCCCTGTAATGCCAGGGGAACTCAGTGTCAGGGGGCAGCCACAGGACAGGCCGGGCAGCAACTCCAGCAAAGGCAGACACCCACTCAGCAGAGACCGGCACTCAGCGGAGACCCCCAGATGCAGCCCTGTATCGGTGGCTTCCCCGCACACCCCCGGGTCCCCGCCCAGCCTCAGAGCCAAGGATTCGGTGTGCTCTCCCCCTGCAGGTACTTCCACTGTCCGGCAGACAGCTCGGAGCTGGCCTACGACCCGCCCGCCGTCATGAACGCAGACACCCTGAGTTACTGTCAGAAGGAGGCCTGGTGCAAGCTGGCGTTCTACCTGCTCTCCTTCTTCTATTACCTCTACTGGTGAGTGTCCGCCCCTCCCGATGCTTCTCTCCTGCAGCAGAGAGAGGCAGTTTCCGGGGAGCTGGGGGTGGGCAGTGAGCGTGGGAGTCACAGCCTGGGGGGTATGACGCCAGCCGCCTCACTCTGGGTCAGAAACAAGGGCTTGCACACAGAAGAGGAGGGTCCTTGCCTGGAGGTGGGCGAGTCCTGGGGCCACACGGTGCCAACACCTCAGGACACCTCCCAGGAGGTGGATCGGATTTGTGGCCGCCAATCCTTCCCCACAGGGCTCCCTCCACAGCTCAGCCACTCAGGCCTCCTGTGGGCCCCGGACACCTAGCCTTGTGGCACCTAGTCCACGTGTGAGCATCTGGGGAGCCACAACAGAGACCCCAAGTGGCAGTCACACTTCCCGATGGGGCACGCTGGGTCATTACATGCGTGTGCTCACGGTTCTCCCGATATTCCATAACCTCGTGCTAACTGGGTAAAACATGCTGACTTGGCGATTGTTCACGAACACCCTCCCCCCCAACCCCCAGCGCCCGTGGCAGAGCGTTCTAGCCAATAGATGGCTGTAAACGGGCTGCCTAATTGGGGGGGGGGCAGAGTGCCTTTTCTTAAAGCGTCCCCCTCTGGCTCCTCTTCGGGCTCATCTCTGGGGAGCTCACCTGCCACCTTGCCACCCCGTTGTTACCCGCGGCCACGAAACCTGCCAGCCTCCCAGTGCTGCCTCCAAGCTGGTCTGTGGATGGTAGCCGGGCAAGGAGGGGGGAGGGCTGTCAGCAAGGCCCTCAGGCTGGGGCAGGCGCACACTTATCCACATTGACACACGAGCCCTGCTTCGAGCCAAGAGCTTGGTAGGTAGAGCTCAGTCTGCAGGCCGTCACTGGCCCCACGTTAGCACCGAGGAGACCGCATCCCAGCCGTCATGTATTTTCCTGTGGTCACAGCTGCAAGGACATCTCAAGTCCAGCCTCAAACACGGAGCTCACAACTGATGGAAATCTCCAGAAAAGTCTTATCCAAGTCTGGTGTTTTCTTTCTGCATTACAACCGGGGTGAAGAGGGTGTGCTTGTTAAAGATGCAGATTCCGGGGCTTGGACCTGCTGACTCAGGGTTTGGGGGCTGGGAGTCCTCCAGGGTAAGACCTGCCCGTCTCCCCAGAATGTCCCAGAGTCCAGAAGACCCAGAGGCCCTTGGGGTATAACTTCCTCTGGGATAAATCAGCCTTGGGGGGATTCATAGTTATTCTACCACATTTTCGGGGTGGGGGATTGGTCCAGGCTCAGGGGGACCCCTTCCCCCTCCTTCTGTAGGGAGGGTCCTGGGTCACTGCCTGCTTTAAATTACAAGAAACCTGAGGGTCTCTGAAGCATTTCTGGAGACTTCCAGGGTGCCCAGCCAATTTGCCAGGGTCTCTGACTCTGAATCGGAACTTTCTAGCAACTGAAGTTCGTTCAGGTGGTTCCTGCCTTGGGAAACCTCACAGACTTAATGGCCCGACAGGCTAACATGAGGTGGAGCTGTTTCTGGCGTGTGCTCAGTCTCTGGCTGTGGGGCTCCAGATGCCCCGCCGCAGACTCGGGGGCCTGAGAGAAGAGGATCGCTCAGGGTCCCAGAGCCACGGAGGTCAAGGCAAGGAGGCACGTCTCTCTGCCAAAGCCCACGCCCTCTCTGTTATGTCAGGGAGTGACATCGCAGATGCCCTTCACCTGCCCTGCTCACGCTCGCTCATTCACTCATGCAGTGTTTATTGAGCACCTCCTGCATGCCGGGCACCCTTCTCGGTGCCGAGGGACCATGCTGAGTGTGCAGCTTGACGCCTGCCTTGAGGGGGCGCACAGCCAGAGCAAGGAGCTTGAGTCCTACTGCGTGCACTGCAGATACACAGGTGAACCAGTCAGACAGGGTGCCTGCCGTCAGGTCAGCCGTAGGGGGGAGGGGTGCCTGCCGTGGGGTCAGCCATGGGGGAGGAGGGGTGACCAGGAGGGAGGTGGCATAACCCAGGGTCCCCGGGCAGGAGGCTAGGGCCACCTCAGCTCCCTTGGCTTGGGAAGATGGCTCTGTGGCGTCAGCTAGGACACATCTTAGGAACCTGCAAATGTCTCTGGCCCCAAGGCCACCAGAGAGGGGGACACTGGGTGGTCAGCACACACCGCTGGGAGGATCCCAGGCTCTGGGCCAGACACTCGGCCGCCAGCTAGGGGCTCGGAGACATTTCTTAACATCTGTGAGGTCCTTGGGAACTGAAGCACCAGATCCGCCTTTACCAGGTTCCCAGCGGCTGTCACTTCAGTCTGTCACTGCTCAGCTTGGACGCAGCCCTCCTGGCACATGTGGACCCCTTACCCCCGAGAGCGGCCGGGGCTGATGGTCCTGCACGCCCCTCAGGGCCTGGGTCGAGGGGTTGGGAGTTCAGGGGCCCGAGAGATGGGGTCTCTGAGGGGCTCCGCAGAGCAGTAAGGGTGGAGCCCTGGCTGCCGCCCAGGGTGCCCGCGAGGCAGAGCAGCGGTTCCAAGTTTGTCATTAGTGAATGCAACACAGGGTCAGAGATGGACTGAAGGACAGACGGAATGTCTGCAACATCGTCCAACAGGCAGGAGCCGGGGGCGCCACGGCTTGGGGCCCGGCCCGCGACGCCCTGTGCCTACGAGGTTACCAGCCGCTGGGAGGACAGGACAGGACTGGGCGGGGCTCGAAGTATAACACTTCAGTTTCTTTCATTTGGTTTTCTTCCTTATATTATCCATTTGTCTCTCCATAATGTGAAAAAATGGTCGCTTTTCTTCGTGCCAAATATTTTGGCACGCTTTGGAATATGCGTAGATACACGTGTGTGGTGTATTTTGGCGCGGGACGCTCCTCAGTCTTGCAGAATTAGCCTGCGGCACAGGGATGCGCGCCCCTCGCTGGCGGGGCTGGGACGCGCTTCGTGCCTGGATTCTGTTAAAAACGGGAGAGCCAGGGAGTTACCCCATGAAGAGTTCACATAGCTCGTGTGCCCCTCAGTCCTTGGGAGAGTGACGATGGGCATTTTCCCGGCGGTGACATGTGATGTGGCATCATCTGGGAGCCCAGGACGCAGCCATCATGTGAGCACGAGATGCTGGTGAGAAAGTCCACTGCACCCTCCCCAGGGACCGCCCCTCAGTCACAGGAAAGGGCTGTGCGGATGAGGAGCGTAACAGGCATGCACAGCAATCCGTCTCTCACCCAGGGGACCCACTACACGCTCAACAGCAGATGTTCAGTCCAACGTGGTGGGTAACGTGGGGGGAGTAGATGCCCAGTGCCAGGACGGGGAGGAAGCCCATGGGTCTGGTTTTGGGAAGGACCCTGTGGTGAGGGTCCGAGTCCTTCCTGGGCTCCCAGGAAGCCCTCACTTCTTCTCTTCCTCCTCTTTCTGCATTCAGCATGATCTACACGCTAGTGAGCTCTTAACCCGGACGGCGCAAGTCACCAGAGACGGGACGGGAGAGGCCCAAGAGGAGTTCACACGTGCTGGCTGGTGGCTGGAGAAGGGCCCGGACCGCATGCGTGAGAGACACCTGTGGACAGCGGATTCCTGCAGCAGCGGGGACCGAGGTCACAGAGCGTGGGGGTCGCTGCCCGGCCCGCACTCGGGTTGCGATCCCGTCTAGGCTGTGGGACCTCTCCTGAGTAGGACTGCTGCTTCCTGACCCCCTACTGACTGTCCCATGCAGTCCAAGCTGAGCCCGGGACCGCAGGAGGGTGCGGCCGGCAGGCCCAGGAACCGAGTGACCCGGGGCCCGCCGAGGCCTCCAGGCTGTCACAGACTACCTGAGTGTCCTGCGTTGCCTCGGAGCCTTGCCCTGCGCTCCCACGGGAGGGTCTTCAGGGGGCATGGATTTGCCTTCGACTCCCACCAGCCCTGAGCCTGCGGGCTGTCGGTGGGAGCTGGGGCTCAGGCTGCTGGTCATGAGTTATGTCCAAAGTCACAGGGGAGGTGGGAATCGGAGGGAAAAATGAGTTTTTAAAACATTTTCACATTCAGAGCGTTAGTTCTTTGCCACCACAAACTGTATTCTTCTGCGGCCGATCCAAAACCGTCGCAGAATCAGCGAATGCCAATCTACTGGTCGACAGTGTCAGAGCTGCCTTCTCCTGAGGACCCCGAACAGTGGCGCCTGGGAAACGCCCCGCACCTGCTCTGTGCTGTCCAGCAGCCAGGAGGCGAGATGCATAATTGCAGCCGCCTTTTACGATGCCACGTCATTCCTTCTGTTAGCGCAACGCGACGACTTTGGCTTATTTAGAATTTTCCGCTTGATGTCCTCTCCTGTTTGGGTAGGAGTTGTTCTCGGGGTTGTAAATAATGACAAGGCTGAGGTTTTTATGTTTAAATTGGGCACGATGATTTCTACCTTATTCCCCACACTTCCCTTCTTTTCTTCTGTGTGACACACAAGGCTATTTATACACGGACGCGGCTCCTGTTGAAATGGTGACTCAGGTTTATGAATGGTGTCTGTGCAGTGCGTCGTGAGCTATGTTTAAAACACAGTGACAGCTTGCGCTCCGCACCTACCCAGCCGCCTCGTTCAAACCCATCACCGGGTGGATGCCTCTCTGTACTGGTGGTAAACCGGTAGGTAGGAAAAGAAAAGTTTCAAGAAGCTGTTCTGTTTCTAAAAATTCTGTAGAGAGCAAAACTCAGACTTCCACTCTGAGGCCGTAGGTATGAAACCGGAGGATTCCAGGTGGCATTCTGGGGAGCAGACACCCCTTTGTCCAGTGCACACCATCCTGGCTACATGACTGAGGTCGGGGGAGAGCGACCTTCGGGGCTGCTCGGCCTCACCTCCAAGCCCATCCCTGAGAAGGCCACCTACACCTGACCTTCACCTCCACAGTCTCTCCCTGGAGCTGTCTCTTTCATTTGTGTACTCTGCCTCCTTCCCAGAAGATGCAAAGTGGCTTGTAATAGCAGACACAGGGGCACAGAGACCTCTAGAAAGACGAGAGGGGGTTCAGACACCCCACCTTCCCGAGGTTCTGTTTCCTGCGATATAAATTGTCACAGCTCACATTTGCCTAGGGCTCTATCATCCGCAGATTGATTTCACTCCTTTGATCTCCTTACCATCCTATGAGGTTGATACTATTCTTTTCCCCATTTTCTTTCTTTTTTAAATTTTTAAAAATTTTTAAAATGTTCTTATTTTCCGAGAGACAGAGACAGAGTGCAAGCAGAGAAGAGGCAGAGAGGGAGACACAGAATCAGAAGCAGGCTCCAGGCTCTGAGCTCTCAGCCCAACGCAGGGCTTGAACCCACAAAATGTGAGATCATGACCTGAGCCGAAGTCACACGCTCAACCAACTGAGCCACCCAGGCGCTCCTCTATCCTTCCCATTTTCTAAGTGAGGAAGGGGAGGCTCAGAGAGGGTAAGGGACTTACCTGTAGTCACACAGCAGCCACAGACCTGTTTTTAAACCCAGGTTGTCTGACTTCAGATCCCCATGTCCTTTCCATCACCCAAAGCCAGCAAAGTAGTTGGGCTCCCGTTAACGTTCCATTAGCATAAACTCTCTGAGAAAAGGAGATTTAAAGACAGAGTCAGAGAAGTGCCCCAGCCTCAGACCTGCTTTACTGTGTCACATTCTTCCCACGGGGGGTCCCCTGAAAGCTTTCAGAGCTGCCAGCATGTCCTGGGAGGTTTTACCCTTCTGAAAGGGACATCTGAGTACTTCCCTCCTGAGGGCTGTGGCCGGGAACCAAGTCCAGCAGTCTGTCTGCAGCTTGAGCCAATTTTTAGTTCCAGGGAGAAGCCGACAGTGACCGCAGGGCTGAGAGCGATGGGCACACTGTTGGTGCCGTGCTGGGTGCCAGGCTCTGGGCCATGACCCCCTCCCACACGGTGACCCCGATAGCGACCCCGGTACAGACTAGGAAGTGAAGGAGCCAGAGAGGGCTCAGTACTGCCCCTGGTGGCCGGCTAGGAACCACGCTAGTAAGCAGTGAGGGTACCTGCACCCTCACTGTCTCCCAGAAGTGACCCTAGAAGGGAGGAGAGTGGGGCAGGGCAGCGCTCTGGATAAATCCCAAAGCGGATGGTGGGCAGCTGTCCCTCCCTGGCATGGGCCTGGGCACCCAGGAGAGAGCCTCTCGGGGACACAGACATGGGAAGGTGCTGTTGTGACCTGATTCCTGGGGGCGGGGGGAGAACAGCGAGGGGGCGTCACTTCAGCTCCTTCTCCCAGTGCTGAGTGAAGTTCTAAAGCACCCACTGCACCCACTTGTTACACAGATCGGATGTGGGCGTGTCCTGCTGCTATAAGTTCCCATGAGGCCACTCTGCAGGAGGCGGTGTCCCCGCTGTGCCTGGGCAACGGCAGTGCCCCCACTGGAGGGAGGTCACCCCCACCAGCCCTCCTCCACGTGCCTCCCCGTGACAGTATCCCCGCCCCCGTTTCTAACGCCTGCTCTCCAGCCTGGCCTCCGACACTGGCCGAGTGCAGGCGACACGCACGCCCTCACTTGACCCCCACGGCAATATTGTGCCCAGCTCACAGAACAAATACTGACACTCCTGGAGGTTACACAACGCTGGTTACCAGTGGGGCGTGGAGCATGCCCCGCCACCTCACGTCTGTGTCCCCCAAGGCCCTGAGCATTTTGCAGACCATACTGGAAGGGAATGGAGGAGGGAGAACCAGAGAGGCTGTCCCAGGAGTGCACCTCTGGTTTGCCCAGAGTGAATGACTTCATGATGGGTCTTGGGCAGGCTTCCCTGCCTTCCTGAGGCTCAGCCTTCCCACCTGTAAAGTGGGGCAACAAGAGCCCACTGGCTGGTGTGCTTACGATGACCAGAGGGCCTTTCTTGTAACGGGCACTCAACAACCATGGTCCTCTGTGCCAGCGCCCCTCCCCTCGCTGCCCTCCCCTCTCCGTGCCCCTCCCTTGTCGCCCTTCTGCGCCCCTCCCGCCACCCTCCTCTGCGCCCTGCCCTCCTCCATTCTTGGCACCCCTCCCTCGGTGCCCCTCTGTGCCCGAGCAGACTTGAAAGGAGTCTTTGCTAGGACAACAGAGCGCTTCCCCTGGTGGGACACAGCCATGTCTGGTGAACCTTGGCTGTGCTCCTCCAGCCCGTCCTGGGGCCGGCTGTCCCAGGCACGTGACCTGGTGACACTGGGCCCTCAACAAGGTCTGCCCCTGCTTCCTGTCTTCAGGTGTGGTAGCTGCAATAAAGTTGTCGCTCTTAAGACACTTTTGTTCTCCCACGTAAGATCCAAGGACAGCCAGCAGATGCTTCGACGACGGTCACTCGCGCTCAAGCCGTGTCCCTGCACAGACCCACGTCCCCACCTTTCCTGTCCCTGGACATGGGCTTGCTCCTTTCCAAACTGGGCGCAGGGCAGAGCGGTCCAATGTCAGGGTGGGCTGTGCAAGCGTGACATGCCGGGGCCGCCTCTGCTCAGAGGCTTGGGCGGAGGGCCCCAGACATCCTGGGTAACCCCCGCGGCGTGCCCTGGATTGCGTTCCCGCCGCCACTGGGGCCCAGGAGCCCTGCGGGGTGACAGGCCACGACGCAGGGCCTCCCAGGCCTCCCCCCACACAGCCACAGCCATTTCTGCCCCCGGGAAGCTCCTGCGCGCCCAGGAGTGTCTTCCTGTCTGCACTTGACCCCTCGGAATCCACGAGACGCCTGCACGGTCCTCCTTCCCGCCTAGCCGAGCCTAGGCTCGTGGGAGCTGGTCCTACATCTTGTAGGGGTTTTGCTAATCTGCCTCCGAGCATAGCTCTTACTAGAGTGCTTATGTAAGCTTACAATTAAATAAATTATATTCAACGCAAAGGTAATGTGTAGTCACAACTCACCACCTCCTAATTATTTCACCACGTTTTCCTACTGCCTGTGCTCCCCACGGTGGAAGCACCTCATGGCAGGGACAGGATGCCTCTGCTCCTATGCCTCCAGGCAGCCTATTCGGTGCCACGGGTGCCATGCAATGGCCCTGGCAGGAGCGTTTGCACCACAGGTGTTGGCAAAGCTGTGGGTCCTGTCCCCTCCCCTGCCTCACACACCTCTTATGCTCCCCGTGGGACGTCTACTAGCAAGGGGCCCACCTTCACCCACACACGGTACGTCTGGCTCCAGGACACTGATGGGAACGTTAGGGGTCTGTGCACCAGAACGCCGTGCCCAAGGCCCTCAGGGCTGGACCCGCACCCTCCCCAGCAGTGACACTATGTGCTTCGTGTCCCCGAGAGATGACAGGAAAGGAGACTTACACCTGTGCGACATGAAGACCCGGGCTTGGATGTAATGTAAGTGAAACTCAGCTGAGCGTGAACATGGTTTTGTGCTTGGACCCCAGCCCCACACCCTTGAGTTCCCTTGGGGTCCGCCATCCTGTGTGTGGCGGGGTCCCCTCCCAGGGGCTCCCATGTCTTGCAGCTGGGCCCACGTGTCTTGTGTGGATGCTGGGGTGAAGACCAACCACACTCAGCCTCGTTATCCACCCCACGGGTGGTCCGAGAGGGGCCCCCAGCATCTCCCGGGCCTGTGGCTGAGCTTTGCACACACAATAAACTTGGCGCACTTGGCTCCTTCTCTGCCGGGCTCTCCAGCCTGTTGAGTGCTGGTGTCTGCCCTCAGCTGACTGGCCCTCACACACCTGTCCCTCGGCCCGCTGTCCCGCACGCACCTGTCCCCTGGCCTGCAGTCCCCCAGGCACCTGTCCCCTGGCCTGCTGTCCCCCATGCACCTGACCCGCCGTCCCCCACGCACCTGTCCCCTGGCCCGCCGTCCCCCACGCACCTGTCCCCTGGCCCGCCGTCCCCCACAAACCTGTCCCCGGGAAAGTCAGGCTCCTCCCTGGACCAGGTGCCCCAAGGGCAAACACACACCTTTTGGTTTAGAGATGCACCAGCACAGGGAAGCTGTTCTGCTCCTGGAGGGTGACTTAACATGCCACCATGGTGTTCCCGTCCCAAACACCGTGACAGGGCTCCCTTTCAGAGACGCCCGGCACCTCAGAGAAACAGCGCCACCTTCCCCGTAGGAATGTATTTCTGTATTTTAGGGCAGGGGATGAGGGGCAAATGAGGGCCGGATAAACACCAGTCCCCACATGAAGTTATGATGAGACACCTCCATCAGGCCCCCGTGCCAGGGACAGTCTATTGTGACCACAGCAATGAAGGCAGCAGGACAGAGCTAGAAGCTTCCAGGGAATGGTGGCAATGGTGGCCAGTTAGCAGCATTGCGGTTCTGATTTCCCCTCAGCTCCATGGAGAGTAAGTATGCTGTTGAGTGGCGTCCTGGACTCCACAGGCTGTAAAGAGTCCCCTCCATGGAGAGGACAAGGGCCCCATGTCATCCCCAGATCCCCAGGGACA